GAGGAAATTATTGATATCAATCATAGTGTTAATGTTATGTATATACATCATTTTAAAACAGGCTGCCATAATTTAAGAATTTAAGCACCAGCAATCATTAGCTGAAGTGTTACATCATAAAGTGTTTATAGTTACAGTGGCTGAATGTGACCATATATAATCTATGATGTGACGAATCAGAGGCTGAATCTCTCGATTATTCGGATGATTTTAGACTTTTAGTGCATCTGCGCATGCGCAGTAGAGCCTTTAGTATTATTATGCTGACATGACAATTTGTGAATTTGACACCGGCCATAAACAACTTCGTAATGGCTAATTCGGTTTTGGAAAGGACTTTAAGTGAGTGTAGAATTATAGTAATAATTGTTTTATTGTAATATGATTGCTATAGACATTAAAGATATTAATGAAGTGATTGCATTACTTGAGAAGCATCACTACAACAAGACATCATGGCGACATCTCGGTCAACATCTTAAATTACCTCACAATACACTAGAGGAGATAAAAAAAGACCATGAAGATGTTCATTCTTGTTTTACAGAGTGTTTGGCCAGCTGGCTGCGTAAAGCTGATGGTGTGGAGACTCCAACAATAGATACACTGATAGCTGCTCTTAGGGGCATAGGAGAGAATGCTGTAGCTGATGGTATTAATGGAGAAAGACAAAGTGAGATGCTCTGCTTGAAATAATCACTGTTTTATTGATTGCTTTTATTCTACTTAGATATATGTATTCCTATAGTTTTAGATACCTTAAGGAGACAATTGTTTGCGGGTATTTAATTTAGCGAATTTTAGCGATTTTTAAAAAATCGCTAACTTAAGTCCGCGCTAATTTTAATTTCTTCATTTAAAGTGGGTGTGGTCACAATGAATAAAATGGCGGCCGTCAGCAAGCCTGAGCTTATTTGCAGCAAACTGAGCAAAGGATCAGCAAGATAATACTAAACTGCTGTCCAAAGACTTCTCTAGCAGTTAGCCTAGGTTAACAAAGCAGATGACAGTCTTCTTCGTTCCGTGACTGCTTCTAACTGTAAGCAAGACTACTTTACATGTTAATGGCTGCAGAGTCAGTGATGAAGCAATTTAAGCAAGATTAATGCAACAAGATCTACTGTATTAGTGTATTTAGACTTGTGCAATTGCTTTGCTTGCTCATACATGTAGATCACAGCACATAATCTGTAGCTTGCTTAGGCTTGCCCGAGGGGTCCGAAACGGCCTCCAAAAGTGTACCAGATTTAAAATCCACTCAAATTTTGACTGGATTTTTTGGATTTTTTTGGATTCTTGTTGGATTTTTTGGATTTTTTTCTTGGATTTTTTTATCATATAACATTAATAAATAGTATCCACCATGTTATTAAAGTTAACTAACCATTAGTTATATTAATTAACTATCAATAATGGTTAATTAACTATTAATAATGGTCAACTAACTATTAAAAATTACCACTCGTTTAATAATAGCAGTTAGTTAACTATTTTTAATGGTTAATAAATCATAGACAGTAAATCT